CCCGTGTGATAAGTTGTAATGGCCTATCCATTCTTCTATTATCTATGCAACGTAATTACGTGTTAAAAAAATGACATGACAAGGTTTAGTCTATCACATAAAGTATTCTATGGTCTATCACCGCTCTTATTTATTTATTTATCTCGCATCCAATGACACCGTATTCGTAGACGTATCTATTGCGTTCCGTTCCTGCACTTTTTGACAGAGTGCTGAAAATAACAGTTTTTTTTTCATTTAAATAAAATATTTTTTCTTTTTTTTTTAATTGTTTTAAACATTTAAACATTTTAAAATAAGAAAATAATTGTTATAATTTATTTTTAAAGGACAATGGAAAATGGCATATAGTTCAAAAATAATATATGTTATTATGTTAGAGCACTATAGAAGTATTATACTTGTATTATATTTATTAAGTATTATAGTATTACCTTTTATAGTGCCTTAATTATGTCGCAATATTTATTTTTGAAGCTGGCCATAGTTTAGGATATCGAGGGAATCTATGTAATCGACATTAGAAAATAGTAACCAGTACCTCACAAACGCATACATATAATTTAAATTAGTAGTAAATTTGCTTCTTCAAGTAATATAGTTAATTTGAATGTTGACAATTACTTCTACATAGTTACATATTTGTCTATCCTCTCCAGACCAAAGAGAGTATTTAAAAAACATGGTAGATAGCTAATATGTACAAAATAGGACATGCAATAAAATCGACGTTTTTATAAATTTGAATTATAATTTACTATCAATATCAATATAATTAGTGGTAATTACTTATTTACAAACCGAAAACAAATGGAATTTGAATAATATGTGGTATTTTTTTTAAGATTTAAAAGAATTTATTAAAAAACATTTTTCTAACAATCTGTATTAAACACATAATTTTTTAAACATGTTTAAATCAAATGTTTTTAAAAAAACCGTTTAAAACTCCGAACCCTGCTTTTCTATATCATTAGTTGCGGAACGTTTCGCCTCGGTCGTCCCATCGTGCCAAAATCTCGTTTTATCATCACGTATCAAGGTTAGGTTATTATCTAGTCGTTTTGAATTGTTTGAAAATATTAATAAATTTTACATTTTCACGGTGTTCGGGTGAAAATGACATACAAAATCAAAATTAACGCTATTTAGAACAAGGCGAATCCGCGTGCGATTGTAAATATTTCAGAGGTATTGTCTGTACGTTGTATACAATTGCAAATAATAGTTTATGGCGATTGGAGTCAAAATGTAAAATAGTCATTGACAAAAGCCTGTAATTATATGTTCTCTGTGTAGGTTAGTTTCACAGACTTGAACCATGTTCTTGACCAGATGGCAAAAACGTTTGTACTCCAAGAAGTTGAGCTGTGTGTCGTCAAGTCTGACCAATTGCGACTGTACTCGAACACATTCTACAATAACTCATGAATCTGTGCTTCCTACTCAAGCGCAGGTCGTGATATGTGGTACAGGAGTTGTAGCTAATTCATTGGCTTACCATTTGGTTGAAAATGGTTGGTCAGATATTGTTCTTATTGACCAGGGAAAGTATGTATATGACTTGATTTCCCGTTAAAAATGTTTCAACATGTGAACCATACTTTTAGGCCATGTGGAGGAACATCCCATTTTGGTTCTGGAACTCTTAGTCTATTTAAACCAATTGCTGAACGCAACATCATCATGTATAGTATTAAATTATATAGGCAATTAGAAGCCAAAGGCTATGATATAGGTACCTTATAATTTATTACCAACTAAAAATGATTATTATTATACTTTTTAAACGAATATATGTATTAAAATAACATATCCATTTAGGTTTAAGACAGTGTGGTAGTTTAAATTTAGCTCAGACTAAAGATAGAATGATTGCACTAAAACGAAGAATTGCCTATAATTCACCTACTGGATTACATTGTGAGGTAGAATAATTTTCTTAAATCCTATTCATTTATATACTAATTTTGGTTTTAAATTAAATATTAGATGCTGGGAAAAAATGAATTGAAAAGATTACATCCATTTTTAAATACTGATGATCTGGAGGGTGGTGTTTGGGTACCTGAAGATGGTGTTGCAAACCCACAAGCTATATGTAAATCATTAGCTAAATTAGCTTCTGAAGGTGGTGCTCATTATGTTATTAATTGCCATATAAATAAAGTTGTCACTGAAGAAAATCGAATTAAGGGTGTCCATACTAGCCGTGGGTTCATTAATTGTGAATATTTTGTAAATTGTGCTGGAATGGTAATAATTACTTAATTAGTATTGAAATATATTTATTGCATATTATTTTATTTCAGTGGGCTAGAGAAGTTGGAAATTTGTGCTCTCCTAAAGTCAGAGTACCTGTATATCCTGCAGAACACTTTTATGTTACAACTAGTCCTTTGCCTGGAATCGGCGTTGACTTACCATGTATTAGAGATTTTGATTCTCATATTTATGCCAGGGAATATAATTCTGGGTTTCTAGTTGGTGGATTTGAAAAAATTGCCAAACCTGCTTTTCTTAATATGAAAATAATACCACCTGATTGGAAAAAAGATATGCCTATAGATTGGAAACATTTTAGTAAATAAATCATAATGTTAAAATTATTTGAAATAAAAAATTATTCTAATTTTTTTTATTTTAGTGCCATATTGGGAAAAAGCTATGTCTCGAATTCCGATTCTTAAAGATGCTGTTTATCCATCATTAAGTAATTCTCCTGATACATTTACACCAAATGGCAAGTGGATTTTAGGAGAAACACCAGAAGTAAAATATTTTTAAATATTTTATTATGTTTAATATCATATATATATATTAATCTATATTATAGATTTAAATTTGTTTCGTTCAAATGTATGTAATGTAAATTGATTAATTCTGAGTGATAAGCCTTGTAAATGCATAAATATATATTATATGCATAACTATTAATCATGAGTTCATAAAGTATATAACCATTGAAAAAAATGACATTTAATGTATTGATTTTATAATATTTTCATACAACAAAAATGTAAAAAAATTATGTATTATAGTATATTGCATTTGTAACCTACTAGGTAAAAATTCTAAAATGTGATAATTTTCTAGATTGATAATTACTTTGTAGCTGTTGGGATGAATGGAAATCCCCTACAAGGAGCAGGAGGAATAGGAAAAGCAATGGCTGAATGGATTATAGAGGGAAAACCTACTCAAGAACATCTTGCTTTTGATGTACAACGTTTTTTAGATCTTCATAATAATAGAATGTACTTACAAGAGCGTACAAAGGAAATTGTTGGCAGGTAATGTTTTAAATATTATCTTTTAATGATTAATTTTTTAACTTCTTAATATTCTTAATCATATTTTCAAATTCAAAAAGTATTACATATTATTCAGATTTTTTTGGGTGATTAAATCATAGTTTTTTTATGTTCGAGCAATAAGAAGAATCTAAATGTTATAAAATCTAAGTTAGCTTATCTTTGGCATTTTATTAAAAATAAAAGGTAAAATTTTTTTTGAAGTTGAGTTAAGTTTTATATTATTCATAATATAATTTTAAAATCTAATTTTTAAGACTTGTTATATATTATAAATTATACTCTAAAAATTAAGTTAAACATTCTTAATAGTGTGAACAATTAAATTTGGTTGTTTTCTTGTTAAATTATGATCAATTAGTGTCTTGTAATAAAACGCCCACATTATTTATGAAACTTGAAAAGTTTTAACTATACTTTTTATTGTTAAACCAAATGATACATTTAAATTTCTTTATACCTTATTGGCCCATCATTTTATGTCATATTAATTATTATATTTTTACTATTTTAAAGGAACTATGCAATACCATATCCTCATCAAAATGAATATAATAATGCTAGAAAGTTAAGGTGTTCTCCATTATTCAGTGTTTTAGAAAAAAGGGGAGCAGTTTTTGGTACTCGAATGGGATATGAAAGACCACTGTATTTTGATACTACGTACAATGGTCAGTATTAAACAAAAATTACATTAAAATATCCACAAAGTATAATTTAAATAAAAACCAAAATTGCTTGTCGAGTATCATTTTTAAAGTTTTTCTTTAAGAAGATGTATATTTGTTGTCTATTTACTATGCAATGTATATTGCATTACATTATACAAATTATTATTATTTATATTATTAATTTAACTATACAGAACTTGAATCACTAAATGCCTTTGGATTTTGAAATTTCTCTATCCCCTTTCAGCATTTTTTTTTTTTTTTTTAAGGAAATTTAATATATATTTAAAATATAGTTTTGAATTTTTTACTTTATAATTTTAATTTTTTTTTATCAGAAAATAAAATATACAATCTGTTATTTTCTTTTACAATTAGTAATTTTGTTTATTATTTTACAAGATATGATGGCGTAATAGAAGGAGGTGCTCTGTGACACTATAATGGAATGTATAATTTATAGCGTTTACTAATTACTAATCAAAGATTTACATTAACTTTTTTTTTCATGTGAGTAGCAAGTCTTAGTGACCAGTTGCATTTAAGAAACTGTGGTGGGTTGTGAGGGAGGAGAGATTAGAGATAAGAACATTTGAATGAATAGTGGTACTTTTTATAGTGGTTGGAAGCTAAAGAGATGAAGGTTGGAATTTTTAAACCGTTGTGGAATGTAAGATTACTAACGTACTAGAGAAAATGTATTAGGCATCAGAAAGTTATGGACTAAAAGACTTGGAGTTATTTAAGTTTGATTTTTTTTTGTTCTTCTCCAGAGTTGAATATCGTTAAGTCATGGTGGGTCCGATGATTTGTTTATAAATGAGGATTTTTATAAAGAGATTAAAATGGAAGAGTTGTATGAATTTATGAAGTGTTAAGTTGAGGGAAGATCTTTTGTTTTTTAAGTAAGATGCCCAAGTTAATATTAACTATTAATTAAAATTTACTAAAATTTAACAAAACACATGATACTTTTAACTTCAGTCAATTATATTTTTAAAAAACTATTGTAATTTTAATAAGTTCTTGTTCATATTCTTATATATTATTTCTTTGTATTTTTTTTACATACCTATATATTTTTTAATATTATTTAATGCTATACATTTATTCTGTACATTTGTTTTATTCTATACTTAATTGGTCTTTATACCACATTCAATATTGTAAAAAGGTTAGTCCCGTTGAATTATACATAAATAAAATAAAACATTTTACCTAGATATAGGCTAAGGTATTTTACAGAGATTTTTTTTCTTTGTACGAGAGTGAAGTTTATGTGCATATATGTTTTATTCTCCATTAGTGAAATCAGTTTTGAAGAATAAGATGTTCTTGCAGTCGACTTGTGACTGAAGTTTGGCATTTATTGGAATACATTATCATGGTATTATCAGCAAAGGTGGCTAAAGTCATATGGTTTGAATGAGGTGTATCAGAGGTATAGAGGTTATATGCTTTTAGGGCAAAAATGTTACCTTGTGGAACCTTGCATGTATAGGGTGTGTTAACAATAATTCATCTTTGCAGCATTTTAGTTTTGAGAGAAAGGAGCGTATTATAATACTGACACGGGTAAGAAGCGTATTTTGTATAGAAGTCTAATTTGTTTTAGGACTATTCGATTTTTTGATTTTGTGAGAAGTGGATGATTCACATTAAGCCTTTTTCAACTTAATGTTAAAGGAAAACTATGATTAGTCACTCCACTTCTTTCCAAAGTTGAAGTACATAGCAGTTTTTTTAGTGTTATCTAAAACTCATGTAATAAAAATGTTAATCACAAAAGAATAACCCACTTCTTTCAAAATTCAGAATTATCCTAAAAGAGGTGACAGGTCTATGTTGGGTATTACTGCTTTAAATTGACTAAGGTATGTAAATTAAGATTTTTGTGTGTAATTGAATTGATGATTGTAAAAACGTCAAGTCATACATTTTATGAAATTGAGACATTTGTAAAAAGTTATACTAGTCATGTGTTTGTGTTGAGTATAAAAACGTTTTTAGTTATACTTTTTTTATCAGATAAATAAGTAATAATAATCCGTGTTTTTATACTCAACGTATAGAAACACATGGCTAGTATACGTTTTTACTAATATCTCAATTTCATAAAATGTGTGACATGACTTTTTTGCAATCATTGATTCAATTACAATTTTTATTTAATATAGTATCATACCTATTTAACATTTATGTAGAAAAATATTTTTGGAGTTCACATTTTTCTTATAATTCAAGCAATGAAAATAATTTTTTTTTTTATTTTCAATTAAATACTAAAGTCTACATATTTATATTACCCATTTTAATAAATGTGGCTATAAGTTACTTAAATAATAATTATATATAAAACTTTTGTAATAGGAAAAGGACCACCTCCAGGAATGCCTCCAGGTACATTTTATAAACCAAAGTTCTTTGATTTTATGTTGGAAGAATATTATGCATGCAGAGAATCTGTTGGTATTATAGATATGTCATCATTTTCTAAAATGCAAATCCAGGTATTACTTTTGTAAAAAAAACAATATATAAGCAATGAAAAAAAAAACTTATTATATTGTATGCGAAATAGAATATAAATTATTAAAATTATTCATGCCTACAATTTGTAAATTTTTCAGTCTCAGTGTAATGGTGTTGTCGAATGGTTACAATGTTTGTGCACCAATGACGTAAATATTCCAGTTGGCGGAATCGTACATACAGGAATGTTGAACGAAAGAGGTGGTTATGAAAATGATTGCCTTTTAGTGCGCGAAAGAGAAAATTGGTATGAATTAGTTTAGTAGCAGTATTTTTGGACAAGAATGATGTATTTGAAAAAAAATTATATTTTAATACTTAAAATAGGTGATAGGTTTTAAAAATATATTGATTTAATTGCCAACAGTTATTTAATGGTATCTCCAACCAGTCAACAAACTAGAGTATTAGATTGGCTTAAAGACCATTTGCCAAAAGATGAATCAATTCAACTGGCTGACATAACATCGATGTATACTGTTGTTAACGTTATTGGCCCTAAGGCAGGTGCTTTAATATCAGAACTATCACAAACTGATGGTGAGATTAATTTACAATCTTTTACATACAAGGTCAGTCAATGAATAATTTTAGCACGAGTGTAATAATTACATACATAAGTTTTAATTATTAGAACATATTATTTAATAAAAATAATATATTTAAATTTTAGACTGTTAACATTGGTTATGCTTCCGATGTTATAATGATGGCTTTCACCCATACGGGTGAACCAGGATTTTGCCTGTACATACCATCTGAATATGCATTGCATGTATACGATCGGCTAATTACTGTAGGATTTGATTATGGAATAAGAGATGTTGGTAGTTTAACACAACGTTGCATGAGAATTGAAAAGTTTATACCATTTTGGGCAGAAGAATTAACAAGAGATACCACTCCATTTGAAGCTGGTTGCAATCATGTAGTGAAACTTGATGTATGTTATTTACATGAATATTTTCTTACCCCTATTACAATTTTTTTTTTTTAATGTACATATTTAGAAAGAATATTTTAATGGAAAATTTGCTCTACAACGCCAAAAAGATCAAGGAATCACCAAAAAGTTAGTTATGTTCATCATAGATGACTTAGATGCCGATAAGGATATATGGGCATGGGGATTAGAACCTATCTATAGAAATGGAAAGTTTGTGGGAACTGTTACATCAGCTGGGTAATTACAACTTATGTTAAATATAAAATAAGATTCATGTCTACTTATTTATCGAATTAAAAAGTAAATTATTACTTGGAAATATACTAAATCACAATCATTGGTCACCCTTTATTTCTATGTAATAATTTAATCTTCTGATTTCAATTATTTTCAGCTATGGCTTCACAATGGAAAAATTGGTATGCCTGGCATATATTCGACGACCATTTACAGATAATCGCAATAGAAGTCATATGGTTATCACAAATGATTATATATTATCGCCAACAGCAAAATATGAAATTGACATAGCTGGAACAAGATTTTCGGTCACTCCAAAAATACATACACCATATGTTAATCTAACTATGCAGAAAGTTTCAGATGAATCTCATTATGTGCCAAAAGTGATTTCACAGATACCTAGTAACTAATTTATCAAATGTTTTAATTTGAGAGAAATGTATACAAAAATATGATCTACCAATATATTATAATTAGTAAATTTAAATATTTTGTGTTATAATTTATGTTTGGAATAACTTAATAAATTTCAACAATTGTCAACTTTTTTTTTATTGAGTTATTATAAAAGTCACAAACAATATACACCATTTACTTCTTCTTCTTTCCTTTTCCCTTCTTTTCTGCAGCTTTTTTCGCTGCATCTGGGTTTTCAGCAGCTTCTTTAGCCTTCTTTTCTTTGATACCGACCAATTTAGCTTCAAGTCTTGCCTGTAAATGAATAATTAATTAGTTATAACACTTAAAAGAAAAAAAAGAATACACAGAAATGTCAAAAATATTGTATATAAAAGCATAATATATATATATATATATATATTATATAATAGGGGTCTCAAACAATATTGATATTGTTAGATTTTTTTAAACTATTTTTGATATCGATATCAAATACAAATATCATAATATATTTAATATTGATATCTACATAAATATTGTAATGTAGGCATATAGAAAAAAATAACTTAACGAGGAATGGGGCATTTATGTGTAGGTAATTTCATGATTCAACGCATTATGCAGCGTGTTAGTATTAGTACTTAGTAGTAAATTAATAATAAATAATTATCGTTATTCATAAGTAAGCGTAAATGCATTGGAGATTAGGTACTCTTTCACTCACACGCATATGTTACATATGCAATCACTGTTTAAGGTATTAAACTACTATAAACTATAAAATATAATATTTATTATTTTTATTTACAATGTATAGGTTGATCAGACCTAGTATTACATTATTGTAAATAGCTCATTAGAAATTCTTATTTTATTTATATTCACATATTCTGTAAACCCACTTTTTTTTTTAATTTTTAATTTGTTTATAGAGGACAGTATGTCATATGAAGACGAAAGTGTAGAGAAAAAAGTAAATTAAAATTCACACAGAATAAATCATACCAAAAGGACATGGTGGATTTTTTTATTTTAATTAATTTAATTTATAATTTTTAAATAATAAATCTAAAAAAATTAATCTCTATTTTGTTATTTTTATTACATGTTATATTTTTGATAAATTATTGATACCGATATGTTGAATTTTCGATATATACATAGGTATGTACTATGTATAAATATTAGAAAATACTAAACAGAAATAAATCGGTTTTTTGATTTTTTAATATATCAATATTTCTATACCGTGATAAAATATTTGTTGTATCAATTAGATATCGATATTTAAAAATATATCGTTTGAAACCCTTATTATATAAGCATTATACAGTAACTATATAAAAACTTAAGAAAAAATTAATAATAAAACACTAATATTACAGGGAGAAAGTACTTATTCAACATAAATTATTTACTTATAATTATTTTTGTTAATCTTTAATAACTTTAAGCCTCTTATAAATGTATACATAAATTAGTATTATATATTTATTATTTAATATAAACATTTTTTTTAATGAAACGAACAATTATATCATTAAAAATGACAAATTATTAAATTAAATGAAATTGTATATTAAGTTACATAATAAAAGTCGAAGAAACACATTCATATTAGTTGAATAATAAATAAATCCAATCTACCTAACTATTGGCTAAAATAAAATTTAAAATAAGTATTAATAATTTCCAATAAAAGACTAAAATAATTTAAATAGTTAGACAAAGTCAAAAAGGTGTTAAGAGACAATTCTAACAACACTTTAATAAAGTGTTGAAAAATGACTATCTAAAAATTTAATTTAGTACAGGTTGACTCAAGAACCGCTCATATTATGAGCCAAAATGGCTTAAGAGGTTCTTTTAAGGATTGTACATATAATATATAGGTATTTAATTAAAAGTGTCTCTTAATAGTGTTAATTTGTCCAATTTTCAATTTTTGTAAGATACAAAAATGAACAGCAAAAATAACAAAATTTTAACTATAATTATAAACATAATTATAATTATAATTTAGCACACTTATGACTCACACATTTGTACTACCAAAATGTGGATTTTAAAAATGTGCGACAGTTAACAATAAATCTCACCTGGCAAATAGCGTTGAAAGCATTGAACTTCTTTTCTTCAGCAGTGATTGCTCGTGCTTCAGGTTCTTTACTAACAGACTGTTGGATGGGCAATATAACTCCTTTCAATTGAGTAGCTGTTTTGCGTTCTTCCTCCTACACAACGATATCATAAATAAATCTAAGGTAAATATTGATGAATGTATGATGAATCACTTACAGTAGCTTCACCCTTCCTAATCTTGTTATTCTTGCTCTTTAGTGGGAACAAAATCAATTTGGAGCGATACTCCTTCAAGCGTTCAATGTTCACTTGCAATGACTCCACACTTTTATTCCTGCGCCTGGGATCCACTGCAATTCCAATGGTACGGGCATAATGTTTATTTAAACCAGCACCCTGAATAATTGAGAAAAACCCAAATTAGACGTCATTCATAACTTGATTAAGTTAACATTTACCTTAAGCTCTTGCAGGGTGAATCCACGACCAGCACGGACTTTAGTGTGATACCGTAACGTCGGACAATGAACGACTGGTCTCAATGGACCAGCTGCCGGCTTAGGAGCCAATTGTTTGGCTTTTTTGATACGGTTCTGATGGCGTCTATATTTGCGGGCCGGCTGGTTGAACCATGTCTTGATGTAACGTTGCCAGTCTTTGTGAAAATGACCATTTGGGATGACGTTATTACCACTCGGGGCCATATTGACGAATTTTGTTTAATTACCTATATCCTGGAACAAGGAAAGAAAACGGACGGTTAAGTTTGCACGTCAAGGGTGGTCGGGTGGGGAAAACAAAAATCGTAAAAGCACTGATGAAACAGGTTAAATAACGGTAGGTGCCGTCGGGCGAATTACGCATGAAAAGGAATCGACGTAATCGATGATCGAAATCAAAGGATTCGATCGGATAAAAAATTGTAATTGTATGCACTTACCGAAAATGAAAGGAATCAAACGCACTAGCACTACGCGGTGAACGAATAGAAAAAGAACGTTGTTTGTTTGGTAGGTGATAAGTGTTATCAGTTAACCTCAAAATGCCATGCGCGCATCTTAAATTGGCTACACTGTACCATGCTAAAGGAATTGCCTTGCAAAGATTAACCTTGTTCCGAAAGCTACACTGATAAATAGCCGCTCAGGCAAAGTTATTTCCAATTTTGTGGTGCGATTTTTTTTTTACTCAATTTCGTATAAATACAACAGAACGTGTTCGGCGATTACCAATATCAAAGTTGCATTTGCCCATCGAATACTGGACGTGATAAAGTTACTCATTCGACCAACAAACGACGACATTAGTAAGGTTGTAAGTATACCTAGCACGTAGTCTAATCCAATATTAACTATAAAATGTACTATTATAATTATTGTGCTTTCGAATAAAACCATTAAATAATTTATTTTATGCGTAATTTATGAAAATTATCTTAACGTATGGTCTCTTTATATTGCGAGGGAAAAAATCAATTTCTTTTTTTTATTATTTCCATTAATTGCATTATAATCTATATGCATGATTCTATTTTACTTGTTTGATGTTCTTATTTTGCTTTTTCCCCCTAACACACGTTATTCTATCTAAATAAAACTATGGTCTATAAAGACTAGTGTATTTCATTTGTTTTCTTGTGATGACCGTTTTAATTTAGCCGTTTTACGATTATACGGTTACATGTCGATGTTATTAAATTTATTCTAGCACTGAAAATTAAAAAATTAAAAATAGGTGTCAAGGCGGGAGAAAAATTGTGGAACGAATTATTTTTCATTGAATTAACTACTTTAGCAAATACCAATACAAGCTATATTTAAATTAGAACTGTATGAAAATAAAATTAGTCAAAAATATAGTTTCCCAGCAATAAAAAAAAATCTTAGAGCTCGGTTCGAATTTCAATAAATCTATAAGGTTTCTGACTTCTCGTGTTGCAGTTTAATTGTATTTTATAATAATAAAATGTATGCATTGTTAATAATTTTAATAATAATAATTATCCTCATATTTTAAGCGCATATTAATTAATATTGTTTTAATTTGTTCAAAAATATTTAATTTTAACAATATATTTGAAATTTAATTAAAAAAAAATAATAACGTATAACATTTTTTGAATCATATATATAAAATTGAAGTCTACTAGTCTATGAGTCGTAATTTAAAATTTGGCGCCTATCCTCCTAATCAGGTATACTAATATCTTGATATCTAATGTTGATAACAATTTCCATTCTAATCTAACTTTTATACTTACTATAATTAAACATTTGATTTTTTACGACAAAACATACAACTAACTTGAAAACGGATATTTATACTTTTAAAGACTAAAAAACGAATAAACATGTGCCATAAATTATAGAAGTACACTTTAAATTTAGTTTAATGTCAATTAAGACTTTTATTAATTAATTAATAAAATTAACCCAATTCATAGTTCCTTTGTTGAAGTTTTTAATCTTGTGAATAATTATAAATAGAAAATAATTTTAATAAAATACAAAGTACACTTTAAAATAATAAATAGAATCATTAAAAATAATTAAAAACTAATCCAAGCAAAATTAGGTAAATCAATTAGTAGGTATATAAATATATATACAATTTTATCAATTTTATGATGATTATATTTTATGCTTTTGTTTTGTGTAAATATGAAAACAGTTCCAAGGTAGTATTAATATTTTATAGTGGTTGAAGTTATCGGAAAATCATAATTTGGATATCTAGGTTATTGTTATCTTCCTGAATTTTTAAATATGTCATTAACTATTATCAGAAGAACAACGTGAATAATACGAAGGCAACATAATTTTATAAAGACATATACAAATCTTATAGTTATTGAATATAATAAACATAATACTCGTATAATATAATTCACCTTCCGATTTTTCATAATTAATGAAATGAAAAATTATTATTTAGAAATATGCATTTTATGTAACTTATACATTGCAAATCTTGTTGAAAGTTGCGATACGTCCTACGTACATTATAGTATGTTATAATTTTTTCTCTGAAAATTTTTCCTGTATTTTCTTTTCTTTTTTTTTATCTTAAAATTAAAATAATAAAGAAGTGTTTTTAATTTTATATAAATTAAGAAATTTAAATTGCCGTTTTCACCAATATTTAATTTCGTGCACCGATAACGTATGTATTACAGTACTTTATGGTTTATCCCTTGATTCAATAACACTAAGACTATTTTTGTTATTAATATTGTTTACCATGGGTCACCAATTGGCGAGGTCCGCGGGCCACATACGGCCCTCGAATAAATTTTATCCGGTCCGCAGACAAAAAATAAAAGCACATATCACAACAACATTCTATGTTTATAATATTTGTAATATTAATTATGTTATTAATGTTTAAAAATAATAGCTAGTAATAAATAAAATAAATAATGTTCTCATTACATCTAATTTTAAAATAATACTTATTGTTCTATTATATGTTGAAAATATGTACTTAGAATTTGAATGGCTCGCAAAAAATTTTCAGATTCCTAATGTGGCCATTCAAAAATATTAATTGGTGACCACTATTGTATACCAACTCAAAAATATAAATATAAAATAAATATTTAAATTTATAAACAAAATTAGTTCGATAACGAATTGAAACAATTGTTGCTGAATATATAATTGTTTTTTTTTTTAATGTACTTTGAATAAAAAATAATTATTTGATTAGTTTTTATTTTCTAATATTACCCCGGTGAGCAAGAATACAGTTAACCTTATACACTGATGAAAAATACGATTAGTGTATTCATAAGGTTAGATCAAATTAATAAAGATGACCTTTTATAATTTTTCTAAAATATCATATTATATAATATTTAATATTATATATTTATAATATGCAATATAGTATACAGTATACGTATGGTTGTATATGACAGTACTCGTTAATTTTTATTATGTCTTTAATTCACTAATGGAAGGTCTTTTAATGCCTTATTCATGCACGTTTTTTAATTGGGTGTCTATTCAGTAAATATTGTTAATTTTTTTTTTTTATGCAGCGCGCCAAATATAGACAAATGAAAATGTCTGATTTATGAATGCGATTGAAATCGTTTAGTAGGACTTTTTATATTTACCTGAAAACTATATAACAATTTTAAAAATTATTAAAATTTTTATAAATTGTATACATAAAAATAATTATTTTTTAGATGCCTAAAAATTACAAAATAAATGTAAATACAGCACCAATTAACATCGAATATGGATAGTATAAAGCAACAAGTGTGATAAAATATTTACATAACCATACTATTATCGCTTGCTCATAGCAAATAATTTGGTAATTGAGTGCCCAATATTATTCATTATTATACGTATATTTATTATTAATTTATACATGCATATAATATAACATATATATATATTTATGTCATAACTTTTTTTTAATTGAATAATATTGTAAATATTGAGTATTAAAACGAGAAATAAATATAATAATTTTTAATGATAAATTAATTTTATTTTAACTAAATTCAATGAGATATTTCTAAGTATAATAAGTGAAAAAATTACGTTTAGTCTAAAGCAGCGTTTCTCAAACTGTGGGTCGCGACCCCTTAGGGGGTCGCGAGTCAATTTTTGGGGGGCCACGAGAAGTTTTTTTTAATTATATAGATTGTAAGAAACAAGCACATTCATCACAACGCCTAATTAATAATAAAGTATTATATTATTATTATTATAAAGTAGTAAATAAGAAATAAAATAGAATAAATTTGTTTTTTGAAATTATTTTTATTGATTCTGTAAATGTAAAACTATGGGGTCGTGATAGATTTTTGGAAAAAAATTTGGGTCGTGGTCCTAAAAAGGTTGAGAACCACTGGTCTAGAGGATATTCTTTTAGCAAATTGAGTTATTTTATAATTTTTCACAATAAATTTTTTTTGATTTTTAACTTTGATCTATATATTTCGATAACGTTGTTTTTTTAGTCAACAAGTTCTTTTTGTGGATTATTTTTTTTCTGTGTATTTTTTTAGATTGAGTATAAGTTCATAATAAATTATATCAAGATAAGATCATTAACATTTTGAAAGTCTTTATTTTATTTTTTATAAAGTATAAAATTATATCATAATATAATATTATGACTTGTTATATTTTTATTATAATTCAAACAATTAATCTGCAATAAAGTACTACAAATTAAGATGAATTATAATTTTGGTTGCAGTTAGTGAAAGATCAAAATATCCCTAAACATTAATTAATATAAATACATACCATTTTATCGTAACTAAGAAATATTGTCTTAACTGGAGATATTGGCTTACCACGTGATGATAAAATGAAACTGAATTATGTGAATATTTTTTTTTGTCTTTTTGTTATATTATAATATTATTCGTCCATTATATTGACCATGATCTTTTCTTATATTATCAACGTAATGTATTGCATATAACTATTTGATTTTATATGGCATATCTCAGTAAATCTCGATTGAACTATCTGCGTTCAAGTGCTTTGATTATAATTAGTATTCAATGGTCAAGAAAATTTCATATTTTTTAATGAATTCGTTCAAAGTTCTAATTATGCTCACTATGGTCTATTGATTAGAGAACTGTATGTGGCGAAAAATATAGTAATAGTTAAAATAATAATTTGTACGCAAATGTACACATTGGCTACTATGATTTGTGTTATGTATATTTTAATTTAAAATTAAATAAATTAATGAATTTATTAAAATAAGTTATTTATAAAAATTTTGTTAAAAGTATATAGTATAATTATTTATGTCTGAGATTTACAAAATTTACAAACCCATCTATTAAATAGCCAATAGGTGGAATATTAATTGTAGAATAAAGAAACGTCCCCATAGGTATGTTACATTAATTTACGTCAAAATTAAAATCTCTTGATAAACCAAAAATAAATATATATTATACTGTATGTGTTCACTTATTACTCAATATAATAAACGATTTTCCTTTTGAAGGGATTTTGGCAGTATGATGGTTTGTATGATTGTATCGGGAAGCGTAAAACATCGAATAATACATAAATAAATTAACAAATAGTTCATGTATAGAAATAAATATATATATATATATATATATATATATATATATATAATACAAATAAGTAAAAGCTTAGTCTGAAATATTATTATACTTGTAAAGTACGACCGGTTACAAATTAAAAATTTATCATCGGTGTATACAAAGGTAATAAAATTGCGACTGAATATGAAAAATAAAACATCGAATAACAAAACATTTTATGGAAAAAATTGTCTGTTAACCTATTTAATTTTTTTTTTTTTTGTACTCTGTATATGTGTAGACTTAGGAAAGGACAATTATAAGAGATTAATTTAAAATAAAATATAAAGTTATCATGGTTAGTAAACATTTAAGAACTTTGATAGGAGCATCGCTGAATATATATATATATAAATACATATGTATAAGTATACATATCAGTATATGTAATACAAATATAAAATAATTAGGGATATTTAATAATTTTTTAAAAATAATTATATTCTCTCTAACTTTAATCTTGTTAGCCTTAGCATTTATGTTTTTTTGTTAATTTTAGTACCAAATCAATATATTAAAACAAATGTATTCAAAAATGGTTCTTAAATAATAATTATTATTTTTTTTGTTAAATGGTTAAATCGTATGTATTCGAAAGTATGTTATTTTTGTTATATTTTGATAAAATTAATTTATATAGAAAAAAAAATTGTACTCATAATTAATACGTGTAATTTTTCCAATTAGAAAATGTAATCACACCAGAATACTATAAAATTACACGTAAAAGCTTTACAAAATTAAAGTTTATTAGTTACAATTATTTTATCTATTTGTCGAATTTATTTACAAATAACTTTTATTTTATTTCCATAGAAATATAATTAAAATACATTAATTATTTGATTATTATTATTATAATTTAATTATTTGATCTAATATCAATTTATCAAACATTTTAGTATGTTGTTAATTTGTTAAGGCTATTAAGAAGCGTCATATCTGCTTTGTTTTGTGTGTTATCTCACACACACGTGTATAACGTAGTGAAATACACGTTCCACATTACCAATTTGGTTTCGCAATTTTTAATATTTTAAAATATATATTATAAATATATAATGTATTTTATTTACTTATTTATTAATTATTTATCTTTAAATGATCAAAAATATGAGAACATTATTTCTATTATTGTTACGCTAGATTGTTTAACAATGTATTATCAAAAAAAGAAATATTTTTAAGAACTTTCTCTAGGTGTTTAAATAAAGTAACTATGAAAAAGACAAACGGAAAAAAACTCTTATTGATTTTATCTTTAGGTTTTTATTTTTGAATAAATATAATTTTAAAAAAAAGTTATAAATTATCTACTAGGTCATATTAAACGTGGATATTAATGATAGATATAACAATATTATGAATAGTGGTTAGGGGTTAGAGGTTAGGGGTTTCTAATGAGTAATAATAAGATGAGATAATATAATATAATATAAAATCTAATATATATATATATATATATAATCTAATGAGACTTATTAAAATAAGTAATCTATACTAATAATTTTCAGTAAAATGACTATTGAAAACGAATTGATTAGACTGAGTGTTGACGATTTTCCACCCAGAAATAAACCGTTAATTGCAAAGTATTTAAGGTAATTAGATTTTAGTGATATTCAGTTATTATTTTTTTTTAACTTAATAGATATAATTAATTTATATGATTAATGTACACAGGAGCTTTGCTTTTCCAGTATTATCAAAATTATCTCCATTTAATATATCAAAAACTGGTAGTTATTTAGAAGGTAATAAGAATTCTATTTTACAAAAATATGGAGCCGTAAGTATATTCTTTAATTGTTTAGATAATTTTATAATTATATTATAAATATAGACAAAATAAATGGTTAAATATTTGAAGTCATAGTAACATTTGTGTAATATATGAGGTGTAAATAGAAGTACAAACAATGAACTTTGTAATCTTATAGAACTCGAACTATGGTAAAATTATTGATAATGACCCCTGAACACTTAATCATCATTAATCGAGGAGTATAAACATATATTGTTTACATTAATGTTATTTGTGTTTATACATTTTTTTTCTATATGTTGGTCTATTATGAAAAATGAAAGACTATTTATAAAAGGTGTATTTCTGAAAAAGTTTTAATAATTTATTTTTAAATAAGTTAAGTAAAATTATTACTTATTTTTTAATTTATTTCTCAAGCAACCCAATTTAATAAACGAAGTTCAAAAACTGTAATCTGTATATTTTATTGTTCTTAAAATTATTTACGATAATCGAAATAAATTTCCATTACGTTTAAAATAGTTAAATTATATTATTGTTTATGATTTGAAAAAACATCAAACAATAATTTGTCAGTTTATTGGAGATATTACATACTAATTAATATCTTATCCAGCTGTTGACTTCATCAATTATAGATAGTATAATTCAATATTATTCCAAACTGTGTTTATGATCTTATAACTTATGACTTAGGTACTTACAAGGTATAAAGTATGAGTTATTTACAAATGTGTTATGATATTGTTACTTTTAGTATAAAACACATGTCTAGTAACGTGAGATCATTGTAAAGCATGATTGTACACGTGCTGTAAAATAATACTTTAGACTAAGTATACAGTGATAGTTGATAGGTTATAAAAATGTAATAATTATATTAGTTTTAATTATTTTAATACTATAGACCTTTTGACTTTAACCTAGCTAGTAAATTCTTCTAAAAATATTTGCGATAATATTATATTAATATATTTATTTATATTATTTAAATTTAATTAATAACTAATGGGTTTAGTGTTTTTTTACATAAGTGTGAACAATTTTGATATTAATTAAACTAACAATAGCACCTAAGTTTCATATTCTATGTGAGTAATATAATATATTAAAATATTATTTAAAATCATGATCGTTTTCCTTCTCTTTTAATTATTTTTAATTACCAGTATTTCATACTTGATAGTCCATATCTAATATAAACGCATTCGTTATGTGTATTTAAATATACAAGTATAATCTGTTAAATCTTTTAATAATTCTAAATTAATCGTACATGTTAGTATTGAATTGTTTATTTTATAAATATATATTTATTTACCTATATTTATAATATCTAAAGCTTCATTTTAAATTCAAATATTTTAACATATGAATAAAAGTATAAAATTCCATTAGGTAATGCAATTATATTGTAATAACTATTACATATCCTTCAATATGACGATATTATTAATAATTATTTTAATTGATTGAACTCAGCAATTTTACTGCATTATTATTCGTTATTACTTATTCGATTAGTATAATTAATGATTTATGTATTAAATCAAAGCGTGTAATTTATATTCATTGTAAATATTGTATCATAACACATTCAAATAACTAAAAACATACACTATAAAATATAATTTATACTTAATTTCTAATTGTTTATAAAATTTGTAATAACTGAAATAATTATTTATGAAATATTTAAATATTTAAAATGTCATATTTAGGATGCTGAAAAAGATATAACATCAGTTTTGACTAAATTGAACACATTAAGAAAAGAAATTTTAAGTAATGCACCATTTAGAGAGTTGATTTCTGATAATGTTGATGTTCAAATATGGAACAAACTTCTTGAAGATTATTCAGATGAAGATGGAAAACGGCCTACTTGGATGTTTACCAATTGGCTTTATTGTGAATGTTATATACATCGACGTTTATTTGAAGCTTTTGAAACAAGGTTAGTTTTATAATATTTTTATTGTAGTCATATACATGGAATCATTGAACTTTTATATTTTAGTATATACTTAAAAACCTATGATCCATTTTATGAACAAAAAATGAAAGGTTTGGTTTCATGTGAAGATGCTATGAAAATATTGGGCCAATTCTTAATTAATTATTTCAATAAAAGTGAGGTTGAAATAAAAAATCTCCGAGAAGATTTACCAAAAATTATTAAATGTGCTTTGTGGGGAAATCGATGTGACCTTTCACAAACTGGAGGTGATGCTATTGCCCAAACTGAAAGTCCATTGAAATTGGTTGATTCATTACAAGACCTTATGCTTGTTGATGAATCTTCTAAAGCAGTTGACTTCTTATGTAACTCACTCAGTATCACTAATGATGACAAAATTTTGGGTAATATTTTTAAAAACATACTGAAGTATTTTAATAAAAAACAGTTTTATTTTTTTTAATTTGTATATATTTATTAAATACACGTATTGATAAATAATATTCGTTTAATAATTATATAATATTATTTTATGACTAATTTAAAAAAATATATTTTCAGATATTATATTAGATAATGCAGGATATGAACTATTCACGGACTTGTGTTTAGCTGATTATTTAGTGACGTATAAGTTTGTAAATATTGTAAGATTTCATGGTAAAGCTATACCATGGTTTGTATCTGATGTCACTAATCAGGATTTCATTACTACTATTGATTATATAGCTAATAAATCTACATGTGAAGGACTGAAAGAGTTAGGGAAGCGATGGGAAAGCTATATGAAATCAGGTTTGTAAGATGACTAATGTATAGAAATATTTTGTTTTATAAATTAACCATAGTAAAATTAAACGTCTTTATTATACTTATAGGTCAATGGAAATTTGAATGTGAACAATTTTGGACATTACCGTTTCATTTTGGTCAGATTAAATTATTAGATATTGAATTGTACAACAAACTTTCACAATCACTTTTAATTATATCAAAAGGAGATCTTAATTATAGAAAATTAGTTGGTGATGTTTTTTGGGAACCTACAGTTCCTTTCTCTCAAGCAGTTGGAAATTTTAAGCCTTCTAAACTAATTGCTTTAAGGACATTGAAGTCGGATATCACTTGTGGCTTACCTGAGGGTCTTGCCGAAAGTATATCAAAAAATGATCCAGATTGGTTAAAAATAGGAAAATATGCTGTTATCCACGTAGATGGTATTTAAAATGTACAATTTACAATTTCATTAAAAAATATTTAAATATTTAATTAAGACATGTAATCTCTAAATATTGTTTTGTTTTTAATTTATTATATTTTTATGTAATTTTATAGTACATTCAAATAGCTTCAATGTATTATTATGAGCTTTAACTCAGTATATTGTTCAAAAATGAAATACATATAAATATATTTATTTATATATGTTAAAACTTCGTATTTCTTATAAATATTATATTATGAGTTATATACATATATTTTTAAGTTTATTAAATTAAGTGATTTTTAAAATCTCTTAAGATGTTGCTGTTGTTATTATGTCTTAAGATATATTTAGTTAATATAATGTTTACGTTTTAAAGTTTGTAAAAAATAATCACATTCTGTTGTAATGACATAAATAAAAACAATGGAACAAAATTTATTGGCTTAAAAAATAAATTGTAAGAACCATTATATTATATTTTAAAATAAAATTGATTTGTTTCAATATATATTAGTTTGCATTTGTAAAATAGGATTGAAGAATTCATTCTCAAATTCCATATTCCATACTCCAGAAGAGACCTGATAAGTGCACAGTAATAATGCTTTATGCCAGTGGTCTTAAACAGGTGACTTTTGGTCTTTCCATGCGGCTCGCAATATTATTTATTTTTTCAACAATTTTAAATTGTTGTTTGGTATATAATAATGAAGTAAGATGATGGCTTAGTCGTGGAGCAGTGCTTCAAATATTTTAAACTGTCACAAAAAAAGTCGATTGTTATATAATACCTAATAAGAATAAATTTATTTCTGAACTGATTATATTGATTAGATTAAAGATTTTAAATTTTTTTTAATTATAATTACAGAACAAAAATAAAGTTATCTTAAATATGTGCGGATCGATTCAGTAATTTATTATGAAATTTCAATTGTGGGAAACTAAACTTGTATCAAATAATTTGGTACACTTTCCTACATTAAAACAGCTATCTATAGACAATAATGACGGAAAAAAATATATTTTAGACATCTTATTACTAAAAGACGTACATCAGTGCAGATTTGCAGATTTCCAATAGTATAAATATGATTTTTTTAGATTTTAGTATGTCATTTTCCATAAATGTAGAAAATGTAAGGGAAGGTTTCCAACTAGAATTAATTGATTTTTAATTCTAATTTAAAATTAAAATTAGAAACTTGTAATTCTTGAAATATTTAAATACTCTAGAAACATCGAACAGTCAAATCGTATTCGTGTAGCGAACAAATTTAAACTGCTGACCGCAATTGCATAAGGGAAACTAACTATATTTCATTTAAATTATGTTAACAGTCGTGCGATCGTATATCAGGGGTATGGGTTCAGGAGGTCATCTAACCATAAGTTAGTATATATTGAAAAATGTTGGCTTTTTGAAGACTTCATATATTTTTAAGCTTGTCGACTATAGGTTGAATTTAATACTAGACAAGGCAAATGCTCCAGTTTCAACCCTTCTTTTTTTCAATAACGCCTCTAGTTTAATTGTATAGTATAATAAAACATATCTTTGCCAGATCCGTTGTAAGACGGAATTCCCCGTAAAATAGAATAAATGTTAATATTTTCAATGATAATTATGAATAAACTTAAAAACACATTTTATTTGATCATATTATGTTATTTTGTTACAAGATATACATTAATAATCCAGTTTCAGACTTAAAAGTGGCCTCTTGAAATCAGTGTCGGTCTAGCCCACCCGGATACTCGGCAATCACCTGAGATTTATTCTTAAAATTGGGGTCCAACGAGGAGCGGATCCACAGTTAGAGAACAGTGGGTCAGGCTATTTCAAGAGACCACTTATTAGAGCTGAAAGTAAATTATAAATGTATTCCTTGTAACAAAAAAAAAACATTATGATCATATAATATTTGTTTTTTAAGTTTATTCATAATTATCATTGTAAATTTTTATCTTATTTTATGGAATCTTACATGAGGTCTAACATAAATATGTTTTATTTTACTATACAACTAAACCAGTGGACTAGTGGCATAATTTGGTAGAGAGGAGTGGGGTGGAAACTGGGGCATTTGTCAATTTAGACTTCAACTTCAACTTCAACTTTAGTTTTAACTGTCTTAAGCAAGACAACTGATAAGGAATGAAATACATCTATTACATTTTAAATTATATACCTCACATTAAAATAAATAATTTGTAAATAGTTTTCAGATTTACACAGATCAAAAGTATATTTTCAGTTTAAAAAATAATAACAGATTGGTAATTACCTAATTATAATGTGCAATTTGATTAATAAAATGAACTATTGCTAAAAATTATTACTTACATTGTACTACAAATTATAATTATATGGAAGGGCGTAGATATATAGGGGCTCTATATCATATCATTGTACATTAAAAAATGTATAGTATGAAATTTTATGAAAAAAATTTTGCTATGTAATAAGCAAAGCTGCGAAGTATTAATGTCTCCAGTCATTCATAGTCTCATGTCGCACGTGATTAATAATTTAAATATGTTAGGTTATTTATTAGATTATTTGATTAACCAAACGTCTACAATTTTACTTCACTTTTAACTTTAAAGTGTTATCGAGTTGAAGTTTAATATATTTTTTTTAGTATATCTTGTAATTTGTTTCTGACAATGAATTATCAAGCTCTAATAAATTAGTTTATGAAAATACTAATAAAAATAATTAAAGAACGTTTATTTTGATTGATGAATTGGGTTAACAGTTTTTAAACAATTTAATGGTGAGTATTCTGTAGTTACAGGATAGTGGGAGAAAGGGTGGATCAGTCTATATGCCTTAGTCTAGTTTACATTACCATACATTAGTATAATTATCAAATAATTTCGTAACCGGGTTGATTAAACCGAGTTTTACAAAAAAACGCATAAAAGTGCATTTAATTAGCATTTAAACTAATGTAATTACTCTAATATCAACAGTTCAAATTAAAACTATGACAATCTGTGTATATATACATAAAATTTAAATATTTTTAAGTATCAATTTCATTGACTATAAATAACCACATACGAAGAATTTTATTTTGATTTTTAAGTCTTATAACTTATAACTTGAATATTAAAATTGAATGTTATATGAATTTCTAAATACAAAAATGTCAAGAGTTTTTGTGATTTTTGATGAAAATTGCAATAATTTAAAATTCATCGACGTCATTTATATTATATATTATATTATATTATACATATTAAGTTCGAGGACAGGTAAGTGAGAAAATATTTTTTAAGTTTCATTTTTAACGAATTTTACTTGTTAAAATAATAGCTAATATAATAAATAATCATAGTATAACTGTATACCTATAAATTCTAGTTATTTATCTATCATATATACGATTTATAATTTTATATAAATAATTTTGTCGATAACCCCTATAGTCATTTACTGTAAATAATGACAATTTATAGTATGCTAAGATTATATTAAATAAACAATTATGTGATTTAATCATTTATTTTATATCTTATATATGTGTTAATGTACCTGTATATTAGGCATGCAAAACTCAAAGTATCAAGTGGACCAAATATATTGAAAAGTTTACTACGCAGGTTAGCCGCACAAAAACATTTAACAAAAAAAAATAAAAATATTTTTATGTACCTGAATACATATAAAATCATTAATAAAATTTAATTGATTACAGTTTACCAGAAGATAAGACATAATAATGGATTATAAATATACTTTTATCTAAGAATCTATGATATTTGTGACATTACATTAATATTTTATAATTTTTTTCTATTTATTTTTTATTTTGTCTATTATTATTGATTGCTGTGGACTGTCTATTTGACATTCTGCTGTACACTATATAGAATATTGAAAGAAATAGGTTTATATATAGCAGTCTCCGTTAGTGCGTAGAGTTAATTTATCTAGAATCAGTTTATAGCCCGAATAAATTTGTTTATGGTTTTCTTTCTAGAGCATTTAAATGATAAATTACAATATTTCATACGAAACATGTTGAACCGAAAATTTACTTTAGTTGCAGCTTTAGATAAGTTACTTAAAGAAAAAAAAACAGGAAAAAAAAAAGAATGAAGAGGTTGTGGGGTTTGTGGGTGAGACACTGAATTTCAAAAAGAGTTAACGAAGTAGTTTTCATAATTTTGCTAAAAAAAATCAGTGTAAAAGATAAAATTACGTATGAAAACTTCATATAAATATCTACAACTAATTTCAAGGATCTTTTAGAAAATATGCCGCAGTTATTTCCATTTTTTGTGTAATCTTCTCCATACATTTTACTTTTAATTTTTGTTTCTTGGTATTATTTTAATAAACAATCCCAACGTGTAGGAGAAGACTCAATCAGTTCTATTAACTGATCAATTTTCTTTTTGTATCACATGAAATCACTCGTAGAAATAATATTTAACAATACAGTTTATATACCTACTTATAAACTTTTTCATAAAATATTAAATTATAATTAGGTTTTGAAAAGAATTGTTCACTGTATTGTATTGTATTAAATAGCTCAATCAAATTTTGGTAAAAATTTATCAACACTGATTATTTGTATTGTACAGGTATATTTTTAATATTTGTTTGCGCTTTATTTATGGTGTATTTGCTTTATTTAGCATGTTGAATAGATCATGACTTCTCTAGATGGAGAGTCTTACCTACGTGTATAATGCTTATTATTATTTGATCTACCTAGAATTTATTTATCTAGCTAGCGACAAGAGAGGCTTGTATTTTATGTATTATGTATACTACTTATACAGATATAGTAAACTGCATACCTTAAGATAGACTCGTAGACTTTTAGTAAAATTATATTTTGTTAGTGAATAAAATCATATGTTTTTATTTTCGGCATGTTTCATGAGTATGTACAAATATAAAATAAATGCTGCACTGATATAAACAAATTGTCATGGGATTCTATTGGATTTGTTCATTGCCTAGTAATTTACATATAATCAAACAAAATAGGTTTGAATCAGAATATTTAGCTAAATAAGTAAATAT